CAGCCTGCCTGACTCCCCAGGGGCGGCACCCACTGCTCTCTGGCCATGTCCACAGCCTGCCTGACTCCCCAGGGGCGGCCCCCACTGCTCTCTGGCCATGTCCACAGCCTGCCTGACTCCCCAGGGGCGGCCCCCACTGCTCTCTGGCCATGTCCACAGCCTGCCTGACTCCCCAGGGGCGGCCCCCACTGCTCTCTGGCCATGTCCACAGCCTGCCTGACTCCCCAGGGGCGGCACCCACTGCTCTCTGGCCATGTCCACAGCCTGCCTGACTCCCCAGGGGCGGCACCCACTGCTCTCCAGCCACACTGAGTTTCTACAGCTCCCTGGTGCCTTCCCGGTCCCGTAACTTTTTTTTTTTAAGATTTTACTTTTCCTTCTTCTCCCCAAAGCCCCCGGTACATAGCTGTGTATTTTTAGCTCTGGGTCCTTCTAGTTGAGGCATGTGGGATGCTGCCCCAACATGGCCTGACGAGCCATGCCAGGTCTGTGCTCAGGTTCTGAACCAGTGAAACCCCGAGCCGCCGAAGCAGAATACGCAAACTTAACCACTCGGCCACGGGGCCGGCCCCCCATATCTCTTTTTCTCTTTTACAATGATTCTTGTGTCATCTCACTCCCAGCTGTCTCCGCGGTTCATTCCTACCCAATTGTTAGAAAATCTTCTCTAAAGGCACCTCCTCGACCCCTTCCTGCCACGCAGAATCGTCTACTTTTCTCCCTTTATGCCTAACGTACCCTGTATGTTCCTCAATTATACTTCTTATCACATTCTATTGCATTTATTTGCTTGTCTGTCTGTCTGTCTGTCTAACCAGGTTCTTGAGGAAATGGGACTTGACCCGAGCACAGTGCCTGGCACACAGGAAGGGCTCCGTGAAAGATCACCCACCACGCTGCCCGGCAAGAAGGACCACGACATACGTATTCACGGTCACCACCAGCGCAGGCGTACGTAAAAGACAACCAATGTGCCTATGCTGCACCATCCTAACGAACTAGACCCCAAATTAAAAGGCGTAACAGAAGTAGATAAACCATGGAAATATTATCCATATGCTGTATTATAAGCACATTAATGGTAATTTGCAAGATGTACTTAAAAAATTCAAAATTCTCTTTTATTAAAAAAACGGCTTATGAGTAGACCATTTATATTATACTTATGACAACAATCTCTCTGTGTAGAGTCTTGCTGTGTCTCACTTAAAGGTGTTTTAAAAGATAAGGTCTAACATGGAAGCTATCTTCCTTCCTTTTTGATTAAGCCACAGAGGTTCTACCAAATCCTGTGTGCAAATGGCAGCTGACATCAGTGACTATGTGGGAACAGGGATGGGTGAGGAGAAGGGCAAGGCTTTCTCCTCTTGGGAGCGGGAAGGGGCACTCCCACGGCATGCCCACCCTCCTCCCCGTGAGGAGAGAGGGTCCCTGACGCAGTCACCAGACACAGCCTTTCTTCTTGCTCTTCCTGTTTCTGCCTCTGCCTGGAAGAGCAAGAAAAACTAAGAGGTCAGAGGGAACAGGAAAAATCTAACACCTGGCTGACAGCAGCTCTCAAAGCAGCTGGGTCTCTCCCTGAGACACCGCCAAAGGCTCTGAGAGTTCTGTCGCCCCGGGAGGAAAAAAACACAAAAAACAAGTTGCTGAAACATTGCCCTGGAGAGGCTTTTAACCCTGAGAGAAAGATCCTCTGGGAAGAGAAAGCCCGGGCCTGCTGAAGATGGGGAGGAGGGGAGCGCTGACCTCACTGCATTCAGAGGCTTCTGCTCTTCACACTTTGCGGCAACTGGATATCTTAACAATGACTACGAAGGGCCTATTACCCAGATATTTGTTTTTAATTTTTTTTTTCCTTTTTCTCCCCAAAGTCCCCCGGGACATAGTTGTATATTCTTCATTGTGAGTCCTTCTAGTTGTGGCATGTGGGACGCCGCCTCAGCGTGGTCTGATGAGCAGTGCCATGTCCGCGCCCAGGATTCGAACCAACGAAACACTGGGCCGCCTGCAGCGGAGCGTGCGAACTTAACCACTTGGCCACAGGGCCAGCCCCTCACACAATGTTTTAAATAAAAAGGAAAATATGGAAAAGTACAAAGTGTAGGAATAACACACACTCATGTATCTACCACCCAACAAACAAAACTAACAGTGTCACATTTGCCTTTGGATGTTAAGGTCTTTAAAAATACACACTAGACTTGAAGAGAACACTTTTCAGCAGCCGTACCTTCAGAACGTCGGATCAAAACACCGGGCCGACCCCTGACGCACCTCGTGGCGCCCTAACCACACGCCAGGCGGAGGTCGACATTAAAGGCTCTCTGGCGACAGGCTCAGTTTCGGTCTTAGACTGCGGCATGCCCAGCACACAGTAAGCGCTCCGGAAACGTTCGGGAATAGAGGAATGGGGGGAGAGAAGCAGTCGGCACTTCAGGCCCATCCTCCGCATGGTGATTTCGAGGAAGAGACGGCCTGGGGCAAGCCACAGCTCTCTGGGCCTCTTCCCACTTCTAACAAGACCAGGCTCACTCAGCCAGGAGATCCCGCCCAGCTCCAGAGCCCTGTATCCCAGAGAAGGAGGCAAACGACAAGTCTGACAAAACCACCCCGTAACACCGATATCCCTGACGGAACACTTACTGACACCAGTCATCAAGAATCAGCTCTGGATGTTTCTATTTGCGTCTTTGGTAAATTCTCAACTGATAATAGCAACCTCCATCTGCGTTCTGAATGGACCAGAGTCTGCTTCCCCAGACCATGGGAGTTTATGGGGGAAAAAGACGTAAACCCCCGGTTCACACTGGGACATTGCCTTGCATCCCGAGCTGTTTCTGATATCCCTGCCCTTCAGAAGACCAACATTTCCTTTCTATGGCAGCCACGTCTTCCACTTCTTTGACTCTTGCACCTTAATTTCTAAACTTAACTTGAGCAAGAATGTGAAAGTGAAAAAGGGTTATGAAAATGTCATCCTTCGGATCCACCGCTGGGCATTAAAGTTAGTGGGCAAAAGCACGAGGAGAAACAGGCCATCTGCACTGCCTCAGAGTATCTGCCCAAGAGTTTATCAATAACGCAGAGAACGACAGCTGCTGTGTGGGGGAGAGACCTGGCGAAGGCCGCCCTGGCCGAGGGTCAAGGCTCAGTCACCGGAACTGAAGGTATCCACGGCACAGACCCCCGATATGATGCCCCAAGTGGACACAGCATCACTTCTGTGGTTTTCTTGCCAAAAAACACATCTCGTTCTAACGACGAGAAAACTCCAGACAAACCCAATAGGGATGTACTACAAAATAACTGATCGGTGCTCTTTCAAAGTGTCAAGGTCATGGAAATCAAGGACAGGCTGAGGGACTGTCACAGACCAGAGACTAAGGAGAGCGGACGACTAATGGCAGGGGGGGCCCGGAGCTGGACCCCGGCACCTAAGAAGGGCACGAGAGGGACAGCGGGTAAATCCGAGGAAGGTGTGCGGGTTAGATGGCAGCACTGCACCGATCTCAATCTGCTGGTTTTGATGACTGCACTTGGTCGTGTAAGACGGCAGCATCAGGGGACCCGGCGAAGAGTGTGTGGAAACTGAACTGAAAGGATTACTAGGCAGACCACATGCAGAACCTCTCAAATAAATGAAAAGAATACAAATAGCTCATTAGGAAAAATTGGCGAAAGACACGAACAGGCGTTTCCCCGAAGAGAAAACATATATAGCCAATAAATCAGGGAGATTCCAATTAAACCATAAGGAGATATAACTAAAAAATGTAAAGTCTGGTAACACTAAATATTGGCAAGGATGAAAGCAACAGGAACTCTTCTGCTGGTAGAGGCAAAGCGGTACAAGCACTGTGGAAAATAATTTGATTATGTTGTCCATTTAGAGGTAAATATGCCCTACAACCAGGCAATCCTACTCCACGATATGCATCCTAGAGAAACCCTTCAACACGCGCACCTGGGGGCACATGAGAACGATCACAGCTGTTCTGCTTGTAATAACCAAACATGGAACACAATCCCAAAGTGCACCTATGAGAGAATGATGAGTCCTAAGATATTCACACCATGCAACAGGACACAGCAGCAAAAACAAAGGGCCACAGTCACACACATTACGTGGATAAATCTCAAAATGTTGAGTGAAAAGTGCAAGTCACAGAAGAATACACACAGAATGAAAGCATTTATGTGAAGTCTGAAAATAGGGAAAACTCAAGACTCTGCTATTTAAAAATAAATTCATACTGTGGCAACACTATAAAGAAAGGCAAGGACCAATGCCCTCAAGCTTGGGCCCTGGATCTCAGGGGGCACAGCGTGTGAAAGTCGGGGTGTTTCTGGGTACCCTGGGGACGCACTGACATCAGCTGGGCACATCTATTCTAGCCAGAGGAGAAGTCTGATGCTTTTCTTCATATACTGTTAATGTTGAAGGATAGTTAGAAAAAAACAAGACACAAACAGGCTGAAGACGCAAATTTTCCATTTACAGCCTCGTATCCTAAATGATCTAAACAACGAAGACAACTGGGCTTTCTGAAACTTTCAGACCTTAAAATGAAAGGAAGGAATCGCAGGGCACAACCTGGAGGGGAGCTCCCAGGCACTGATCTGGAGCGTCCGGGACTCGCCAGCAGGATGCAGACAGTACAAGCTGGAAAGCTGTTATACGGAGGCGTTCATTTCCCACTGTGAGTGAGATCTAAAAGACGTGAGCTCCTTGAGTTAAGGCCGATCTTCACTACTTTAAAAATTCTTCATGTTCCTTGAACAAGAACATTTACTTAGCCTGAAGGAAGTAATTTTGCTCCCTCTTGAACCACTGAGATAGCCTAGTGTGCCTGCATTGTGTGTTTTTGTTGCTGGATATTAGGATTTACAGCAATTTACAGCTCGCCTGTCCTTTAGCAGAGTTTTTAAGGCAACGCTACTAACGGTCAAAATGAGGCGGGTAAAGCAGAGGCGCGAGGCCCAGCGAGCGGCTCACTCACCAGCTGGAACTCGCTCCTCCGGCTGAAGGCCTCCCTGATGCCAGAGTCCCTCCAGAGCGCGCTCAGAGCGGGCACGTACAGCTGGAAGGTGGCGGGCTCCACGGGCAGCCCCGCTCGGTTCTCGAAGGCCATGAGGAACATCCCATGCTTTTCGTTTTCCGAGTGCTGCCAAGGAATGCCAAGCTTGTCTCGCGCATCCACAAGAACTCTTGAACCCTGGGAAACAAAAGACACAAAAAGGATTTAATTGTGGGCCCAAGACTAACTGAGGGCAGAGAACCTCGACGTGGGCACAACTGCCATAAAGCAAGAACCTCACAAGCTATCACACTCGCAACCAGAACTCGTCTCTTGGTTTGTTTTGTCACGGTGCAAACGGCTTAACTCCCAGGAACGTGACTGTGCCAGACAGACGTGGACACACACCACACAACAGGTCTGCCTTGGCTGTCACTCGGTTGGAGAGGTCCTGGCAGGAAGACAACTGGTGGGGAAAAAAGTGGCCACAAACTCAACAAAACAAACACTAGGAAGGAGCCCCGTCAGTAAAGGCGGCAGTGTTCTGAAACAACGACGACCATCAGAGCTGCCACCACCATGATCCCTGAAATCCAGTGGCTCCTCAGCACCAGAAGGATCCAAGTGCTTGGTCCAGCTCAGAACGAGCGGGAGAACAGCCACACACAGGCAGCCAGCGGTCCTGAGACAGGAAAAGACTAAAGCAGACACAAGTCGGCCCGCCCCCTGCAAAAGGAGCCGGGGGTCACGTTCCAGATTTAATGCTCCCATTGTTCATGGGGATGAGAAACTAGTTTTCATTCTTTTGCTTATTTCCTCACTGTTAAAAATAAAGTTAGTATTTTCTGCCCTTTTCTTACCTCACTGACAGAGTCAAGGGGATGGAGAAACAGCCTAAGCTAAAACAGCCTGAGGGAAAGCACCCGGACTGTGGACAATACCGTCCTGGTGACAATGGCTCACTGGGCAGTGAGGAGTCTATTCCATCATGCTTAGGTTAGTGCTCCAAAGTCAGCAACACAGTATCTAAGGGCGTTTCTGAGTTCTTCTGAGGTGACCCAGTGAATGTTCTGGCACCATCGATCCTGGAGTGAGTAAAAAGCAGGGAGGGGTGCCCCCTTCTCCGGAGAAGCCTTCACTGGCTCAAAGAGGTCTGGCGGGACGAGGAACAACAGACAGCAGTCCCCTGCCGCCCAGCACAGAGACCACCAGGACATCACTGCCCACTTGGGACTTACTTTTCTAAAAAAATAACAGCTGTATTCAACTGTAAGTCACATAACACACAATTCTCCATTTACAGCGTACAACTCAATGGTTTTTAGTTGGCAGTTATCCTAAAGGTTTGACTTCCAACACCTGGGGCAGAGGGGAGGAACCAGTTCTGCCTTCTTCACACCCCTGGAGCATCAGTGTGGTGCCCATGACTTCCCTTTCCGCCGTGAACCGCTGAATCGAACGGTAACGGTGAGTGAAAAGAATACCGCAGCCTCTCGTCCGGACCCCGCGGGCCAGGCCTGTCTGGCTGGAGATGTTCGCTGATTCCCTCCCAGGGTGCGCCGTCGGGGACCATGCCCCGTCCTAGTGACCCACAAACATGTGTTCGGTGCTTCCTCAGGGCAAAGCACCGAGCTCGGTGCTGTGGGAAACAAAACATTTATGAAGCAGTGTCCGACCTCCAGAAACTCAGAATCTGGCTAAAGGGACAGACACAGGAATTAAAAAAATTAACACCCATTTATGATGAAAACTCTCAGAAAACTAGGAATAGAGAGAGGAGAACTCCCTTAAGCTGATAAAGAACACTGAGTAAAAAGCTCCAGCTGACATCACCATGAATGGAAAAAAGACTGAAAGCTTTCACTCTGTGGCCGGGAACCAGGCAGGGCTGCCCACGTTCATCACGGCTGTTCAACATGGCACTGCAAGCTCCAGCCGGTGTGGCCAGGGGAAGACAAGACATATAAGAGGTACGGATCAGAGAGGAAAAAACAAAACTAAGCCTATTTGCAGATGAAATGATGATCTACGTAGAAAACCCCAACGAATCTACCAAAAACCCTCCTGGAATTCAAGCAAACTCAGCAAGGTCAGCAGATATAAAATCAACCCACAACACTCAACCGTCTTTCCACATACTAATAATGAGCATGTGGAAATAAAAGTTTAAAATCACTAAAGAAAAAAAACACTTAGGTATAAATCTAACAAAACATGTGCAGGACTTGTATGCTGACAACTACAAAACACAGATGAAAGAAATCCAAGAAGATCTAATAAATGGAGGGACATATGTGCACGAACTGGAGGCTCCACAGTGACGTCAGTTCTCTCCAGATTAATATACAGGTCTCACATAATTTCTATAAAACCCCAGTAGAACCTTTTATGGATATAGATATGATTATTCTAAAATGTACATGGAAAGCACTAGATTAGCTAAAACAATCTTTAAAAAGAAAAATTAAGTGGGAGGAATCGCTCTACCCAATTTCAAGACTTACTTTACAAGCTGCAGTCATCAAGACTGTGTGGCACTGGTGAAGGAACAGACACGCAGATCAACAGGACACGACAGAGAACCCAGAGATGGCCCCACACGAGTACGGCCAATTGGTTTTTGTAAAGATCCAAAAGCAATTAAATGGAGGAAGAACGGCCTTTTCAACAAATGACGTCAGAGCAACTGGACATCCACAGGCAAAGAAAAAAAAGAACCTTGACCTAAACTTCACATCTCAGACAAAAGGAACTCCAAGCATAAAACCACAGCATAGGAGAAAATCTTCACGACTACAGCTTGGTACACAGTTCTTAGACATGACACGAAATACATGATTCATAGAAGAAAACTATCAATAAATTGGACTTCATCAAAATTAAAACTTTTGCTTTGCAAAAGACTCTCTTAAGAGGCTGAAAAGACAAGCTATGGACTGGGAGAAAACATCTGCCAATCACATAGTTTTCCAGTGTCTTCAAAAATTAAACATATACTTATCATACAACCCAGCAATCTCACTGCTGGGCATTTATCCCAGAGAAATGACAAGTTCTGTCCACATAAAAACCTGTGCAGGCATGTTCACAGCAGCTTTATCCATGATAGCCAAAAACTGGAAACAACCCAGATGTCCTTCAAGAGATAAATGGTTAAACTGTGGCACCCTCTGTACCATGGAAACGACTCGGCAATAAAAAAGAATGCACTACTGATATCCTCAAGAACTTAGATGGGTGTCAAGGGAACTACGCTGAGTGAAAAAAAAAAAACCAATCTCAAAAGGTCACATACTATGTGATTCTGTTTATATAACATTCTTGAGATGACAAAATTATAGAGATGGAGAACAGATTTAGTGGGATTAGGGATGGTAGAGGAAGGTGGGTGGGTGTGACCATAAAGGGGTGGCTGGAGGGAGATCTCTGTGGATGGAGCAGTTGCGCGTCTTGAGAGAAGTGTTGGTTACACAAATCTGCACATGAGATAACAGGTCAGAATTACACACATGCATTGTATATTGTACATGTCAATTTCCTGGCTTTGATCTTGTACTATAGTGATATAAAATGTAACCACTGGGGAAAACTGGATGATACCTTTCTGTGCTATCTTTGCAATTTCCTGTGAACCTATAATTATTTCAAAACAAAAAGTTAAAAAAAAAAGTTAACCAGCAATCATGGCAATATATGCTCCAATTACATGGTGTGGAAAGGGAAGGTTACTAGAGGCCAAGGGAAGAGAGATCAGGAAGATGAGGCTCGGAAATTCCTAACCCGAGACGGGTCTCAAACGCAGCTTTTGAAGCACCCGTTAATTTCAACAAGTGGCAACAGCGGATTAGAATCTAACCAGAGGGGAAATATGATTTAAATACATTCTCAGCTCTCCTTCCTCTCTGTCTGCACCCCCCACCAACACATTCCTGCTTCTGGGTCATTCCCATCCCCCACTTTCTCTGATGGCACCACACCAAACTCCACCTGCCCAAAAGGACAATGCTGAAAAGGTTCCAGAACCCAAGAAAACAAAGATGTTTCATATTCTCCACACGATGCACAACAAAAAGCATGGAGAAGGTAGAAGAGATTTCTCTGGCGAGATTCTTGGCAAAGGGTCACAGATCTTTGTGCAAATCAGAGGGAGGGTCCCCGCCATCCGGGCAGATGGGGCCCCACGCCTGGCCAAGGAGCTGGGTCAGGATCTCAGCCTCCACCTGCGCCCCAGGCAGGCAGCCACCCCACCGACCATTCGTCACGGCCCTGCTCACACACTCAAACACAGCGAATCTGGTCACACACACAGATCTCTTTTCAGTGCTCTTTAGCACATGAAAAAGTTTAGCTTCACAAGGAGCACCACCTCACTCCAGAGTTAAATTGAGCCTCCGCTCCCCGGGGAGTTTTCGTTTAGACCAAGGCAGGGAACCAAAGTGGACTGAGAAGGCTGGGCAATCGTTACCAAGACTGCTTTCACCACTGCACAAACCAGGCCTTCCCTAATTATTGGGGCGAACGTCGGTTTGGCTTAAAAAAAATCGGTCCATCCCAAAGCAGCCTGTGTTCCCACTGCACACTGCCACCCAGGCAAGCTGGAGCCGGTCCAAATTAACTTCACCCAAACCCGAAGAAAAAGCTCCTTATTTCTCTTCTTAAAAACCCAGGGAAATTGGCGAAACTGCTAACGAACTTTGAATTATACCAGTTAGCTACAGGCCATTTTCTGCATCTTATTCACTTCGCTTGGAGAAAAACGGCATCAAGAAAAAAGAGATGTCTTTTGCCCTTGTAAATTGTTCTAGTCAAAAGCTACTCTCTGCCAACTTTGTTCCAAATATACGAAACTGAGGCCTTAGGGGAGTTTTCCACTTTGGGACATCTGCTTAAAATCTGAGTCTGCTTCTTCCTTTTCGGAGAGCGCCTAAGGTCTCTGCAAATGTTCCGTTTCCTGCACTTCTGCACAACTGAGAGGTACACGTGTCACCCTCATTATACAGAGTTGCTAATGTCTTCAAAGTAAGCTACTAACATAGCAGGCATACTAAAATAATAAAACGTCGTGCTGTTATCCTTTTCCAATAGAAGTCCAGTTTCCTAAAACACAAAAGCCAAGAAAATCCTAAAATCTATATACACTCATAAGAAAAAGAAAAAAAATTAAGGCAGAAGAGAAGTTACTTAAGTCTCATTCACGG